GGAGGAGGAGGAGGAGGAGGAGGAGGAGGAGGATAATGAGGAGGAGTATGAAGACGGAAACGAAGATAACGCTGGGGATGTTGTCGAAGAGATTGCGGTTGGCGAGCCCGAGCTTCCTGTTATCAAGGGTATGAGTGGATTTGTAGAGGAGAAAAATGAGAATGAAGGGAGTGGTGGAAAGGAGGGTGGTGATGAAGATGAAGATGGATATAGTGATGGAGAGAAAGAAGACGAGGATCCTTGGTCGCCGTGGATTAAGAGGGGAGTGAGCTTTTCAGCGGGTACAGTATGTACGGCATGCACGGAGAGTGAAGGGAGCTGAAATTGTCTCCATTGCAAGGTCGCGACACATGAGAGATTTAGTGTATGGATGGTTTAAGATGGGTTGAGATGAGATGGGTTGATGAAGTGGGCAGGCGTAGGGATGGGCATATGAATCGCAAGGTAGTCCGGTATTTGGCCACAGAAGTAGAAACCGCGACTCTTCTTGATTTCCCCAACGCTGCAATAACTACCAAACAGTCCTAGAAGTCACCTCACAGCTCTTTCCTATATTGGATATGCAGAACAGCTTTTCCTGCATGATTGAGATTTCCGAAAGGTTCTTGTAGTGTTGCAAGGTGCTGAGGTTGTAATCTAGAGAGTATACGATCTCTCCCTTTTCAGGGCATGATTATTCACTTGTTCATACCTTTCTTGCGAGCTGATGCTACATGCAAAAGTAGGCATGATCAACGGTGCATCCGCGGAATGACGAAACACTCAGTCCATGCTTCGACAAGGGGGACGATCCTCTCGCTGTCGTGTAGCCCGAGCTATCCGTGGACGTCATTCAAAACCGCCTCGCAACGCGTAAATCTTCGCGCTGCTTGCGAGACAACCTCGCGCATCCTCTTTTTCTTCGCTTTTGCGCACGAATCGCAATCCTTGATAATCGTCCTCATTATTTGTTGGAGGTGGAAATCTTGAATATGGAACCACCGCTCAAGCGACCACGCGCTGATGGCATCGATGGCCACCAACTGAACAATGCGTCAGATGCAAACGCGACTCCAACAGCCCTGTCATCTACGACAAACCCAACCGTATTGGCCACTGACATCTCAAACATGATATTTGCGCTCGACAAAGCGACAATAGACAACGGAGATGACATAGAATTCGGCCGCGACCTTCTCACCAAGGTTGCCGTCAAGGACCCCGTAATCGCAGCCACAATCCAAGAAGCCTACGACACCCACCTCAAAGAAGAGAAGAACCGGGTCAAAGAGTTCCAAGACGATATTGATCAGCTTCGCAACTCTGTTCCTCCAACGGACGAGACCACGCCACCCGAAGACAGGTACCTAGGTATACCTATGAAATCTTCCAAAATCCAATCGGCGTTTTACACCAGTGTAACTAAGATCTGCGATCGGACATACGAATACTCGTCGCTCGGCACCAAGAAGAATGCATTAGATGCGCTGAGGAAGCTGCATGTCTTGCTAACTCAGATCCCGGACAAAAGATTACAAGCCGCAGTTGTCGATCGTATTAACATCGATTACGACAAGAACGTGATGCGCGCACTCGTAGATCGCGACCGTATCTACATCGAAGATGGCAGAGCTGTCCCCGGCATGAAAAACATCGTAATCTCCTTGACCCCGGCACAGCGCGAAGAGGTGTGTTATATGCCAGTGGATGGAGAGACAGTTAGACAGGATGAGTCTGGACGTACCATAGGGACGTTTCGAGCGAAGTTCAGCGATATGAACAGAGATCTAACCAAGACGGGATTTCGTGTCTGCTTCGGTCCTGTCATATCGTCCTTGTCGGTAAGGCCGGAGGACCCCGAGGACGAGGGTGATTGCGATTGCTAGCAATCGACCTGAGGGCCTACGGATAATAATAATCTCGTTGCATAGACCTATTGTTTTCATCACCTTATTGTTAGCTCACCCCTCACCTGTGAAGTTTATTTGGGTCGACCCCTCAATCTTGGTGCGGATGCCATCAGCACTACTGTTGATGATCTGCGAACACCTTCATGGACAATGTAACACCAAAATACTGCCAACGGCGCTTCCACACACTGCGACAAACATGGGCCGCACACTTAAGCGACGACGACTGTTTCCTGACAGCTATTCCTGTACTACAGACTTCGTTATTAGTTCAAGCCCGTCGCCAGAAGATACGCTACCCGAATATGACCTTGAGGAAGCTATCCGTATGTTAGACAACGAACCAGGTCAGATCGAAAAACGCAGCTACAGCCAGCATCTACTCCTCCAGATCGCGGAAGAAGACCCCGCGATAGCGACCAAGATCCGGAAATCACTACACGAGCACAAGGGCAAAGACATCAGCTTCCAGCGACTCATCTCCGGGGTTGACGGCATCGAAGGTTGTATACGCAGAGCCGCAGGTGGTTTTATGTACCAAAGCGATGACGAATGCTACAGAGAGTGATATGGCTTCACATTCATTATAATCAATGACATCGTCCGGGATGCGGGTACATACACCTCCTCGTTCGCCACCAAAGAATCAGCCCTGCGGACGTTGATCAAGATAGCATACGCCATGCTGAACATCAAGAATGGAACGTTACAAAAGTATATGCCGAGTTATTGCGCCTGCAACAAGAGCGGTTTCCGAAAAGCTGTAAGGAGGATCTTCTTCACCATGAGCCGAGCTGAGCGGAGGGAGATGATCAGAACGATGTGGGAAAGCTTACGCTGCTCCAGAAGATGGATCAGCTGGGCGAGAAATTGGACGCTGCTGGGTTCTTCATAGGTCTGGGCCGCATTCTGGAGCATGTGAGGATATCTCTGGACCCCGATCTTTCGGAACTGATGAATGATGAACAATTTCTTGCTGATGAAGAGCGTGCGGATAAAGAGGCGGAGGATCCAGCCTGGCCTAGAGTATCTTTGGAAGAACGAGCTGCGAGAGTGAGGGCTTCATGGCGAGTGGAGTCTGAGTGAGATGCTCTGGTGCGAGATGTAGGGATGTGTGTGTATTGAGAAGACGTGAGGAAATCGAAAAATCCCGAGTTTGAACGTTCAGGAAGGGTTCGTGGTATCTCACAACGCGCTTGTGTGCATGTTCCGATCCATAAAACACTACTAACAGCTTCGCCTTCGCCGTTGGCTAGCTGACCCCTCTTTCTTCCCCATATTATAAACTCCGCGCATGCAGCCGCTCTAGTGTGCTCCATGCTCCATGCTCCTACTCAGTGGGGTCTTCCCAATAAGGTTACTCATCCTCGGAACTGTCCTCGCCCTCACTTCCGTCATCACTCTCATCAGATTCAAACAATGAATCATTGAAGAGACTCAAATGGTAGGCAGAAATAAACTCTGTCTCGTTAAGACGCTCGTATAACTCCAGCATCGTGTCCGCGTACCGATTTCCCCCTCGTCCCACCAGTCCTGTAGTCGCCACCGTCGCACCGTCTACTGGCATAAGAGCCAAGTCCTTGCGTTCCTGCGCAGACATGGATTCGACGATCTGAATTATTTCGAGACAGTACTCGTCAGATTCGGCAGTGGTGATTGCCCCCGGAAATAGCTCTTGCATTTCTTCGTTTGTGTGATTGAGCAGCGTAAATCCCAGTCGTCTAAGCGTATCCAGTGCTGACCTCTTTGTTTCAAAAGACGAATAGAGGTGTGTTTGAGTCTTGATCTCGCGCATCTTTGTGACGAAGCATCTTGCAATCCGTCCGGGATCTCTTGGTAGATGCGTTGAGCATGCTTCCTCGTCTAATATGACGCCTTTTAGCATGTTGACACAGTACGAAAAGTCTTTGCGCTGCTTTCGTTCTGCCTTCTCGACTTTTTGCTGGTGGTACTCTTGTCGGATTTGGGCTGCGATCGAAGGGTCGCGGACAGCTAATTTGTGGAGCATGTGCTGGCTGAAAGTATTATTCGATGGTGATTTGTCGAGGCTTTTTAATGCTTTCCAAAGGTTGTAGTCCGGTATATTCGGGTTCGGTGTCGTAGATGATTCGGCTGTTACAGGTGGATTCACGTCGCTCTCGGCGCGCTGTCGCTTGAGTGATGGCTCCGTCATTTTGTTCACTAAATAAATTATGATTGTGGTGTAACTCGCGTTTCGCGCAAATGCGAGGAAGAGTCAACGTGTTGTCGCGACAGCGTCGCGAGGTTACGCGATCCGGCAAGTTCCACCACGGAAACGAGAACGTCATCTTAATAAGCAGAGCATCTATACAGGATCGTGATCCCTGTTCCATCCGGAAAAGTCCGTGCTGTTTGTATCTACAAAGTTCTTGAAGAAAACGGCGCCCAGCTGGTGACTGCGCAGATGCTGCCGGCGTAAATTAGTTGAGATCATGATATTAGGGACAAGGGCAAGCTATTGACGAGATGTCCGCATGTGGATCGCAGAAGTACAACAGGAAACAGAAAGAAGCAATCGAGCCGGAGGAAGAACGACAAATCATCCTCTCCGTGCCATTTTCCTCTCGTGTTTAGCCAATATCCATCGGCTTTTCGCGTGGTCTTTCGGTGCGCCGCCAGAGTCGTAACACTCCATCCACTCCATCTCTTCTTCCGAATTGTCGAACTCGAGGCTTCCGCCATATATGTTGTGCCTAGGGACGTCTGAGACAGGGCTTTCGTGCTCATGTTCTTCGTCGTCCTCTTCGTTCTCATCGCCCTCCTCTTCCTCATTCTCATTCTCATCTTCTTCCTCGTTAACCTCGCCAGCAAGCGCATCGAGCACACCCCCAAGATCAGCGAAGATGCAATAATCTTCAGCAAGCTAATAAAGCTCCTCCATCTTTTGCAAGAAAGTCAACCGTCTATTGTGTATTGCACACATCTTCTCGCATTCTTCCTCGCTTATCTTAGAAATAACAGCATTTATCGCATCCTCTAATGCCGTCTTAGCGCTAAACTGTTTACAAACTTCGTAGCTAATAACATCGCCACTCAAGCAAATCGTCTTGCCTATCTTGCGCAGCGTCTCAAGAGCGGATCGTTTGGTTCCAAAAGAAGTGTGCTGAGCGCTCGCCTCTTCACCAATGCTTCTGATGGTGCTGGTTACGGTTTCTAGCACTTCGAAGGCCATGTCGTACTGCCTTGAACCACTCATCCCGCTGTAACGCCTGTTGATGGCCGACCACACGCTCTTGGAGTCTGGGTCGAAGTCGATTACTTTTGACTGTTCACGCTGGATGTGCTCGTGGTAGAGCTTGCGCAACTCCCAAGCAGTGGTTGAGTCCCTCAAGGCTGCACCATACAGAATCTGTCTAATAGTTTTGCCGTCATCCATAGTATCTAGCTTTTCGATACATTCATAGAGGCTATATATTGGGACCTCAAGGGATTGAGGAATGAATTGATGTAGCGGCTGAGGGATGAATTGATGATGGGGTTGAGGAATAGACTGATGAAGCGGTTGAGGAATACTGCTTTGTGCAGCCGTCTGCGAGGGTACCGCGTCGCCATTGGAATTAGCGCGTTGACGTTTTCGTGAATTTTCCATGGTTTTGTGTTGTCAAAAAGATGCTGTCCAATTGATTAGGTCGTGGTTCAGATGATGAATAACGCGTGAGCGGTCGTTCAGGAGGTCGCGAACGTGACGCGTCGGCCCTCCCAAAACGGTTGCGCTAGCACGCGTCGGTCAAATCCCGGGTCATTGGATCAGCCGGCATCACTTGGACAGAAATCTATGTTCGGATACTAAGACCTTCGCTGTGCATACTTTAATTTACTTCAATATGGGCTTGACGCGGAGGTTCAAATGGTCTAAGTTATCTTCTTCTTCTTCCGAGTTCGGAGATGAGTTTCCTGCTATACATCGTCCAGCAATTGATAATCTTCAACACGAGCTACTTGGAGATAAAGCGCATATGAACAGTTCATTGCTTTTAAGTAAACTGTGAGATTGTTATACTTCCTTCACTCTTCACCATCCTCGGTAGTTGATCGGCGGTCGGTAATAAGGACGTCGGACTCCAGGCTCATTGCTCGATTCTGTCCACCCTCTTTGCCCTTCGTCCGAGTCTGGCTCCTCCAAACTTTCTAGCATTTCAGCTTCCTCCCCATAAAGGTGTTTGAAAACTCCTGCAATGCCCTCGAAGATACAATTGCCACCTGCAAGACGCTGAAACCTCCTCATCTTCTTTACGAAGGTGGCTTCTCCGTCGTGCATTTCGCGCAGAGTTTTGCGCTTGTTATCAGTCATCTTATTAATAATGGCCTTTATAGCTTCAACTAGTGTAGTTGGTATTTGGAACCTAAGACAGACTTGGTGACTAATCTCGTCTAGGCCTTTACATATCACTACTCCGATATTGCGCAGCGTTTCAAGCGCCGATCTCTTTGTTTTGGGATGAGCATGTGCTTGAGTGGCTTTGTCCCGGATGACCTTGGTGATGTCCTCAATCTCGTCCGTGACAACAAAGGAAGCATCCCATTGCTTGGAGCTACCGTATTTTCTGTAGCGCTTGTTGATCGCGTGCCACACATGGTCGGCGTAATACTGGAAGTTGATGACTGTAGAACGAGTATCCTGCTCGCTGCCGTCCTGTACGCCTGCATTGACGCCATGATCAAGTTCTGCTCTGTCTCCTGGTCCGGTGTGGTCGGCGCCCTCCACGCTCCGCTCTTCTTGGAGCTGGACGTGATGATTGTAAAGGCGTCGCAACATCGAGGCGACGATAGGCGAAACAATATAACACTCGAGCAAAACATCCTTGATGAGCTGTCCGTTATTGGCGACGTGTAAAATGTCGATGAAGCCCTTCATGTCTGGTTCGGGAGGCAAGACGGATGACGCTCGAGCTGTTTGCGGAACAGCTGAGTCGCCGTTGGTATTGGCGCGTTGTCGTTTACGTGGCGCTTCCATTGCTGCTCGCGATTCCGTAGGACGTGAGGGTAAAGAGGATGTGTTGTGACTTCTGAATATGCAGTCGTGACGCGTCGCGTCAGGATATCCGAGAGAATCACGCGCGTTGCGCGGAGATACTTTGAGACACCCACATGAGAGGCGGGAGCTGTCTCGGAGCGATTATAGGGGCGCGTGTTTATTTTTTGCCGTGTCACCGTGTCCAGGGGATGAAGTATAATGATCCGGGTCAAAAAGTTATTAATCCTGGTGGAAAATTTCCTGATTCGGGTCATCTTTTGCGCTAGCGAAAGTTATGTACCTGGGCGGAAAAGTTATTGGTCCTGGTTAGAGGAACACCAAAATCATGTAACGGCCTTTGTTAGCGCATAGCTCGACTTCCTTGCTCTGCAGCTTTCTAGCCTAATGTTACGCTGTAGAAGACGTTATAGTGTATACCTATAAGCTTATTAATTACTAGTCTACTTAATTTACTTATCTCTTTTACTTACTTTAAACTAAAACTAAAATATATTTTACTTATTTTTATACTTTTTTTTAACTTCTATATATAAGTGTTTTAGTTATTTTATTTTTAGTAAATATAGTATTATTAGTAAAAACTTTTATATAAAGTTATTTTAGAGCTATAAGCTATTTTTTTATAAAAAGCTAAAGTATAGTATTAGTAAAAGTATTAGTAAAAATAAACTTAGCTATAACTTTATAATAAGTAATTACTTAAAGCTTTATAGTACGCGTATAGCTAATAGTATACTTATACTTAAAAGTATAGTTAGAATATTTTTTTTTTAGAAAAGTTAGTATTAATAAATTATTTATATTTATTAGCGCTAAGTACTAGTAGTAATATATATATAAGCGTATTTAATTAAGTTTAAGTTACTATCTTAAAGTTATAAAATTTTATATTTACCTCTACACTTTATATTATTACTTTAGATAAATATTATAGAGTAGCTTTAAGGTAAAGATACTCTACTTATAGAACTTTTATAGTTTTTCTATTACGCTACCTACACTATAACTATATAATAACCTCTCTAGTTATATAAGTTAGTAGATAATATAGACTTTTTACTATATACTATAATAGCTATAGCGTAAAGATATAAAGTCTTCTTAGCATTCTTCTTCTTATTCTCTACCTTCTATATACTACTTATTCTTCTACTACTACTACTACTATTATTACTTATACTATTCTAACTACTTTCTTTACTACTACTTAATACTATTACTAAGAAGTCTAACTCTTAACTCTCTTTATTACTACTATAATAACTTTAACTTAGTATATTAGGCTATATACTATATATAAAGAGCAATAATATTAGCGCTAACTAAAGGCGTAATACTTTAAACTTAGGCTTAGAGCTAATAATATATTACTTTACTTACTTATATATATTATATTAGCGCATACGTATAAAAGAACTCTAGTTATTCTACTATAAGTATTTAAAGTTAAAGAGCTATTTAAATTTAATCTACCTAAGGTTCTACACTATAATATACTAATATAACTTAGACTTATAGTAAAGTTCTTCTTTCTAAGCGTAAGTTAGAGTTAATTAGTTAATAGTCTCTAGCTCTTATAGATAGTAAGAGCGTAGACTAGTATAAAAGAAAACTAAGTATAAAAGTATATAACTTAACTATAGTACTACTTATAGCGCTAGTAAAAGATTAGAATAACTTTCTACGTTTATATTATTTCTATAGTATAATAGGTTAAATATAGGCTAAAGTACTTTTAGAAGCTTACTAATATATAGTTAGAAGAGTTCTTTAAAGAATTACTACTAGTAAACTAGAATACGTTGTAAAGAGTACTAATTACTCTATTTACTAGTTTAGCTTCTATCTAGAGATTCTCTATAAGTATATACTTAGCCTTTAGACTTAAGAGAAGTATTACTATAAGGTTATCTATATTCTTATTCTTTACTTTATAAGTATTAGCTTCTTAATAAGTAGTAATAGTGTTAATAATAGAAAGCTTCTAATTATAGAGTAACTTATAGTTTCTCTAGAAGAACTCTTTTCTAGTTAGAATAAGCTAAACTATATTATTAAATAAGGCCTGCGCTTTGTATATTATTATACTTTGTACTTATAATAATAATAACTTCTAAGTTTCTCTAGAGATATTACTATAACGTAACTTTTATAGAGTATCTTAAAATAGCTACTTACTAGGTCTAGACTACTTTATTATCTCTAGTAACTTAATTATCTTATTAAACTAAGTATATAGAAACTAACCTTAACTTATAGAAATACTTTATACTAGCTAAGTGCTAAATAGTAGTATTCTAAGAGAGAGTAGTAGCTAGAAGAAATTACTAGCTAGAATAATACTTAGTCTACTAAAGAGCTTACTAGCGTAGTCTAGAAAGATCTCTTAATAGTAGTTATAGACCTAAGCTAATATAGATATATCTATTATAGACTTCTTATTAATAATAATATAGTAAACTTTTTTAAATAGTTTCTATAAAGTAGTTTAAATAGTAGTAGATATAGACTAGTAATTATTTAAGAAGTTTTATAGTAGCTAGAATAACGTATATATAGTTTAGCTCTTAAAGTTATAAGTAGCTATACTAGAAGATATAGCATAAAGTACTAGGTATAGAGTAGTAAAGCTAAAGTGCTCTACTACTATTTTCTTAAGCTAGTAGTAAGCTAGTAATACTATATATATCTTACTAGTACTAGCCTAGCTATTAAAATAATTAAGTATCTATTTTAGAGGCCTCTTTATATAACTCTTTAGATACGTAGTAAAGTAAAGAACTATATAATTATACTATAATTATTAAAGCTTATTTAGTAACTTAGATTTACTAACTATATTAGTGTAAAGGTTATTCTAAGATAACCTAAGAGTTAGTTCTTAGAGAGTAAGTAAGTAAGGTAGAATAGGTTAGTATACTAGTATAATTAGAAGATTAATGTAATAGTATAAGAGTGTAATAGTATATTTAGTAGAATAATATAATATTATAAGAAGTTAAGAAAGAAGTATAATTCTTAGATTAAATACTAGAGTCTTATATAAAGTTAAATATACTAAGCTATAAGAGTTTAGTGCCTAAGCTATATACTTAATAAGAGTTATACTTATAGATAAGCGTATAAGTAATTATAAATAAGTAATAATATATTTTACTAGTTATTAGCTTAACTGCTTATGCTTATTAATAAGCGCTTTATATAGGTTTAGCGTTATCTTACTTATAGATAAGTAGTTATATAACTATAGTATAGTTCTATACTATAATTCTATAACTATAATGTATAATTCTTTAAAGTAATTACGCTAACCTCTAGAGTGTCTTTTAAGTTAGATTATAATACTATTCTCTTTCTTTATAGATTTGTTCTTAAATTATATAACTAATTTATTATTCTATTAATAACTAAAGCTTACTCTGCGTTATAAGTAAGGTAGTTGTTATATTCTCTTTCTACTAACGTTACTTACGCCTTAGCTCTAAAATTGCTTAAGCTAACTATTCTACTAAAGCTTCTTATAACTATTATTTTTTTAAAGAAGTTATTTATCTTATTATACTAGATTTTTATCTAAAGTGCGCTAAGTATACTTAGTTAGGTTAGGCATATATAAATATATCTTAGAAGTTCTTAGACTATACTTAGAAGAAGTACTAAAAGAAAGTTAATAATAATAAAAAGTTATTAGTAGTAGTAATTTTGTAGTTACTATAAAATAAGAAAATTCTAAAATAGGTAGAGAAATAAGCGCGTAGAAAGGCGCTTTACTTAGCTTCTAATATAGAGGTAGCTAGCAAAACTAAAGTAGCGTAAGATATTAACTATTCTACTTCTTCTATTAGTATAGAGTTCTTACTAGCTATATAGGCTATAATAAGATTAATTAATACCTCTATTACTAGGCATAGTACTTCTAAAGGTGTAATTAGTAGTTTATAAGGTTTATATCTAGCTTCTATATATTATTACTGTTGTTATATTCTAACTATTTAACTAGGTACTCTATTCTATTATTACTATTTTAATATTTAAGAATTTATTTAACCTTAAAGATATTATTCTCTTCTACTTTAAAGTAAAAAGTTTTCTAGAGTAGTATTTTAGAGTCTACTAGTTCTAATATACTAATATAGAATTATAAGTAGATTTTTATATTAAGTAGAAGGTTAAGTATAAATATAACTAGTTCTTTCTAGTCGCGAATTAAAAACAGTCTAACCTTAATATTATTAAGCTCTTTATTAGGTTACTTAGTGCGAAGATTTTTTATAAGTAAATAAACTTTATTCTTTTTCTTTAGCTAAGGTACTATTTTTTATTTCTTATTAATATATAAAATGTTCTAGTGTTATGCCTTCTTAAGTGTTACTTTAAGTAACTTATATACTATCTTTAGCTTATTAGTAGTAGTAATAGCTACTTCTATCTTCTAACTAGAAAAAGTATATATAAAGAGATTTAGGTATCTTCTATAGTTCGCGTAGAATAGAGTCTATTCTATAGACTTAGAAAGCTTATTATTATACGCTATCTATGCTATAAGTAGTAATAATACTTAGTTATTCTATTATTTATTAATATAGATGCGTAGATAGGCTTTTATTATATAATTTATTTACTTAGTCTATCTATCTGTCTATAGATAATAAGCTGTTAATAGCTTTCTCTTAGTTTTAATAGTAGCTAATAACGTAGTCTAGAAGTTTAAAGTAAAGAGCTTATCTCTATTACTAATAATTAACTTTAGAATGCTATAGTATTAGATAATATAATTATTAATAATATATATAAGCTATACTACTATAAAGTTCTTATAAAAGGTAATATACTTAGCTTACTTTATAAAATAATCTACTACTATAAGAATAGTGTTGTAGAACACTTATATTATAGAGTCTCTTAAGACTAGTAGGCCTATAACAAAGTTTATAGAGATATCTAACTAAGGCTAGTTAAGTATCTCTATTACCTACATT